CTCACAGACTTTCCTGCCCAGTCTGGCTTTGAACCGTGATCTTCAGATCTCAGTCTCCTTACAGGTGTGAGCCACTGGCACCCAGCCACAGCTATTTTCTTATGGTTTAATGCATTTGAATGGGAATTTTCTGTGTTTTGTGACCTAAAGCAACTATTACTATACCCCTAACCTACCACAAAGTACTTTAAGCTGAAGCAGATGATCACTCAGTACAATGGGATGTTCTTACACACACAAAGAGAGTCAGAACTGAACATAAGATATACTATCACATTCCTGTCATAACATTCCCCAAAGCTCCTCTGGCTCAGCAAGTTATCATCTGTGGATTTTGCCTAACCAGCAACCTTTGTCCTGGTACCACAATTCAGCATTTCATTTGGAGGAAACACCCATTCTCCATGTCTTTCACTTAAAGTGCTCACATGCTCAGTCCCTAGAATTTGGCTTGTGACCTAGGCCTTGCCAGTGAGAAGATGACTTTTTTTTTTTTTGAGAAAAGGCTGAGAAGCAGAGGGTAGCGTTGAGATATAAATGGAAGCCACTGGAAAGGTTTGGATTAGAGAACAGCAACCGACTTAGAGGTTTAAGGTCAGTCTGGCTGCTGCATGGGGAAAGGTCTAGGAGGACAGCACTTGTTAGCCAAGTGAGCTCCGTCCCATAACTTAGCACGCTCCTTCCCCTCTCCACAGCTTAGCATGCTCCCTTCCTAGGCAACACCAGGCCTATGTAGTAAAGGCAGAAAATAATTAGCCAGTAAATAATTAGCCTCCAACCCCCTGGAGATCTTGGGATGGCACTTCTCTGGAGCAGCTACCACCATAGAAGGCAACAAGAGCACTTTAGAGTGACCTTGCCTACTACTTGGGCAGCAGCCATAAATCCTAGTCTGCCATGATGACGCCCCTGGTCCTCACATCCACACCAGGGTCTCCGCCTCCTAGCCCTTTCTGTCTCCTCCTAAAACTCCTACGTTATTTAGGTCACCTCAGACAATAGCCAATGCTTCTTCTCATTTCTCCCTTTCCTGGCAATAAACCTTTCTTTGTTTTCTGTACCTGGATGTCTGTGTGGTTTTCTGGCAAAGTATAATATACTCTTCACAGCACTAATGCCCCAGCGGGGAGATGACAGGTAGGAAATGATGGGACCCTGGGTACATGAGGAAAGCCCAGTCAAGGGAATTCTCTGACTACCAGGTGGGAGGAGATACCCATGGGTGAGCAGGTCGTAGCCTGAGCAGCTGGGAGAACAGGTTACCCCTGAGATCTTGAATCCGGGGCACAAATAAGGCCCTGTTAGGATTGTAGAGTAGGAGTGGGACTTGAGGGAGGCCCTGCGTGGGGATAAAAACTTAATGTCAAGATACAAAGCCTTGCTTTCTTTCCCAGTAGCCAAAAATAAGCAGTATGTGTATGGGAGGGGGTGTGTGTCCTGGGGCTTGGACTCAGGGCCTGAGCACTGTCCTTCAGCTTTTTCCTTCCAGGCAAGCATTCTACCACTTTAAGCCACAGCACTACTTCTCCTAGTCAAAAACAAAACAAAACGAAACCCTCCTCTTCCTTAGGTGTCTCCGCCCAAAGAAAGACTGCAGCCAATGAGAACCCGCCTACCGCCCAGTCTGCAACTTGGCTGCTGCCAGGTGGGCAGGTCCGGAGGACAAGTTGCACCTCGACTGGTGGCTTAGGGTAAGGAGTCCGGGGGATCCGCCAGCTCCCGGGTAAGTGCACCCTGCAGGGAACCGTGCACACTCACAGGGGTGGCGCCAGCGGGGCTCGTGTGCGCTCGCGGGACCCGGTACGCTCCCGGGGAGCCGATATGCTCGTGAGGATCCCACAGGCCACCTCGAATCGGACTCCGTGTGGAGATCGGGCGCGCCCAGTGCACTGGCAGGGTTCCTGTAAACTCACTGGGGTTGAGCTCTAATGTAGGGATGGGGCGCTCCTAGGGGTCGGATAAACACTTGGGGATCAGTTTTTCTAGCAGAGATCCGTGCGCTTTGCAGGGCGGTGCTGTGCGGGTAGGACCAGTGTGCTACTGACAGCATAGGCCCCAAAGCCCTGGCAGCCTTCCACACCAGCTGGGTCCTGTCCCGCCCAGCCCTGACCTTGCTGCCCAACTACTGGCTGAGCACCTGGGAGAAGCCACAGACCTGATCCAACAGCGAGGGGCTCGATCAAGTACAAAAGAAAGATATATTAACACATTCAGTCTGTACTTTTTTTTTTTTTTTCAATTTTGTGGAGGCCCTCTGCCTTTCTGGATGCTGTCTGAGCTCAAGACTAGTGTCTACCACTTGGTCCACAGCGCACTTCTGGCCTTTTTCCTGGCTAATTGATCAGAGTCTCACAGATTTTTCTGCCTGAGCTGGCTTTGAAAGGTGGCCTGCAGAACTCAGCCTCCTGAGTGGTTAGGATTGCAGGCAGATAAGAACACCTGCCTCCGGCTTGTGCAGAATGTTCACATTCCTTGGGCCCACTGGTGGGTCTAGCAGTTCCTGTTTTCCTGTATCCCCAGGCCGAGAAGAGCTAGAGTTGCAGCAATAGGGTCCAAGGTTATGACCTGGCCTTCTGGAGTGGGAGGGTAGTCCATAGGAACACATGTGCAGCCCTCTACTCCTTCTTTTAGGCTCAATTTTGAAATTGAATTGTGCATTTTCTATCATCATTTTCCTTAATTAGCAGCTCTTCTTAAATATGGGCACATGCTCCAAGTTTAAAAATATTAGAAATGTATTCCGTAGAATAATTGGATTCATATTAGCATATTATCTCATTTCCTTCCTATTAAGTGAAGACCCCTTTCAATAAGAGGTAGAAGCTTTTGTAGTGAGGCTGAGGAGGATACTGAGGGTGTGGAGCAAACAGGCTGGGAGCAGAAGGGAGTGGCTGGGAAAGAGTTGGGGAAAGGAATGGCTTTTCTTCGGCATAGCAGCTCTGAAAATGAATGCAAACCCAATTTTTATACAATTGTAGTATTTCCCTGAAGGGGGTGGCTGACCTGTGTAATGACCAGTTGAGTGCCTGAGAAAATGCAGATTCTTAGCCTCTTCTCTACTCAACACAAGACCTTCTGAACTAGGAACCAGATTTCGATAAAGCGGGCCTACAAGTGCACTGAAGTTTGGTACTACTGCTGTGCCATCATGGACTGTTTACTTCTGTTCCTTCTCTCTCCTGTGTCTTTTTCTCTCCCCTTTTATCCACTGGATCCTCTGACCCTTGGCTCACGTGTTTGTTTGTTCCTTCCCCCTTCATGTGAAGGGTCCACAGTAGTCCAGCATTGTTCTTTTAACATAGTATACTCAAGTTAGGCAAAGGAAAAAAGGATGACTGTTTCTTACTGCCTTGTCTCCAAGGCGTAAGATGAGACACTGGCATTTCCAATCGTCAGCTGTGGGAATATTTCATTTCCATGGAGGCCTCATGTTTCCAGCTGTCGTCCCAGAGAAAGATGGACCTCAGGATTTGGGCATGTTCTTTTGGAGGAGATGTAGTTGATGTGATAAGGGAAGTTTACTACCATCAGCCTTAGATTAGAAGATCCCAGCCTGAGTACCAGAGGGCTGAGGTGGTGAAGACATCTGGGGAAGATGGGACTGAATAGGAGAGAAAGTGGGGACTCAGGAGAGAGTTAGTATAGGGTTTGGAGCAATGTCAGCAGGAGCCTGAACTACTGCTTTTGTCCTCACAGGCCCTGAAGGAAGCGATCAAAATGGATGCGGAGGTGAGTCTTTTACCACCATCATAACATGCATGCTGTGTTTGCAGCGCCTCTTCTTCCTCCTTCTAAGGGTATTCCCTTCCCCCTGCAGAGCTCTCAGAAACACCAGCACAAATGTGAAAACATCTGGCCTGTCATCTGCTGATATACACATGTTTCTGGGTGATAGAGTAGGAATCAGGCCCCTCTGGGTTCTTATCTGTGTCCATTCACCTTCAGTTTGATTCAGACTTTTCCACGATAGCTAATTCTGAAACAACACTCAAGAGCTAGGGGTGGCCCAGGCAACAAGGACCAACCAGTCATGGACTGGAACCTCCCCAACGGTGAGGCCACGTAAGCCTTGCGTCTTTATGCCTTGGTTATCTCAGGTATTTGCTGTACTGATGGAATGCTGCCTCTGAACAACTATCACCACATGCTTTTTGAGTGATTACTGATGCTTTGTGCATCAGGGTTTGTCTGTGTCCTGCTCACTTCCTTTAGCTCTTTCTTAGACTCCTTCTCTCCCTTTTCTTAAGTCTGTGTTCCCCAGGTACTTCTTGTCCTACCCATGATCTTGTGCACTCATCTATTTCCACAGCTTTCATTTTAGGCTGTATGTTTCAGGAAGTCCTGAGTGGATCTGTTCAAGCAGGTCTTTCTCCATATAGCCAGGAGCCAGTTGCTTATCCTTGCTGAATGACTCCATAGGGACCTGACAGTGCAACCTGGTCTCACTGTGTCACCAGACCAAAGTTGGCTTCTCAGGGAACTCACTCCAACTGGTAGTTAACAAATATTGGATGCCTGCTCTCTCCCTGAGTTCACCAGTCATCAAAATTTGTGTCATTCCACACTATGAGTCACTCTAAATTCAACTTGGATATGGTAATAAACCATTACAGATATGGCACTTTTGTTCATGGACCACTGCTGACAGTTGTGGCCATGGATACATCTCAACGTTGTTTTCTTCTGATGTTTCATCTGCCTCCTCTCTTTCTCACTTAATTCCTTACTTAATCTCCTGTATCATGCTCTCCCTCCTCTGGCCCTCCCCCTCCTCCAGCACAGAGGACGCCCTCCTCCAGACTGTTGGCTGCATTTCCCTGTTGTCCATGGAACTCCTCCCATGTGTGTTTATGTTTGTCCCCTTTTCCCCATCCCCATTCCCACCTTGACAAAGACAGTTGTCCTCATGTCTTACATATTTTCCTTTGTATAGCTGTATTTTTCATGAAAATGTTTTTGGTTTTGTGTCAATAACTTTTAATGTGACAAAATAAAACTAGTATCTTCTGTTGGCACAGCCCATGCATATAATCCTATAACATCAGATTGTAGCTTCCCCAAGGTCCTCATACATGGCAACAACTGCTATTTACTGTGCTGTTGACATCATTCAATTTTATTAATATCATTTTCCATCCCAGTTTCCCATTCAGTGCTGAATACAAGGTGTAACATACAGTTAAGCACTATACAACCCACCAAGTTGTGCTTGTATTTCCTCCTCTCCACAAGCTGCTGAGCAGGATGTTATTGACATCTGTGTTCTGTAGATGAAGAAAGTGTTACACAAATTTCTGTAAGGAACAAAAGCGGGGTGCTAAGATACAGATGGGGGTGAATACATTTGGTCATGTCCAGATCCATCTAATCCTGTCCATCCAGTTCTCCTGCCATTTCTGCTGGGTGAACGGTGTTCTCAGAGCCCTCCATCTGGAGGGGACATGGCCCTCATTGTTATTTCTTTACCTCCCCTCACCTTCTGTCCTCTCACTTAAAGCTGAGCTGCCTGCTTGCTTTGTTCCTTAGTGTGTCCCCATGGCCTCTAACCTGATGCCTCAGATACACGTGGTTCTCATTGAATGTTGATTGACTGAAGGGCCGGACAACTCCCTGACTGTTGAGTAATCCAGTAATCCAGTCCAGGGTTGTAGTAGTCAGTGAAAATGTAGAGGAAGGAAATCACATGGTGGAAATTGTCAAGAAAACTTGCTGACTCACATGCTGGCTGCAGGGCAAAGGACAGAGGATCCTCAGCAATAATCAGCCCTTTGCTCTTGGAGAATGATTGCCTAAGGACTCTGGGTGACAAGCATTTCAGGCTGATAGAACTCCTGTGGCAATGAGTCTTTGCACAGAAATTGAGAAGATTGTTAGTTAGGTGGGTGAAAGGCTGGAATTCAGCAGAGCATGAAGGCCTAAATGAGGACAAGACAGCCTGAAGAAATTCCCAGTTTATGTTGTGTCTTGGAACTGGATCTGGTGGAGGGAATGGCTCACAGCTTAAGGTGTTACATTGCAGCCTTTCAGCA